GATAAGACATAAGCAACCACTAAGGTGAAACATGTGACATGCCACCAAGCCACCAAAGGCCTCCAAATGACTTAAAAGCACCTGTACTTGCTAGAAAGGTTTGCAAACTCTGCAGAAATGGAGAGGCTCCCAGGGTATACACTGGCCTGTTTGCTCTCTCTTCTGCAGCCCCAGGCCATCTCCACACCAGTGAATCACCTGGGCCCCAAGCACAGAGAGAAGCCCAGAGTCTTCGAGCAAGTGTTGCCTGACCCCCACTAGGTGTGGGGTACTGCACGAAGTGGGGAGGACATAAAGCTGAGGCCACCACCCCCACGGAGGGTGCAGGCTGGTGGGGAAAGTAGAAATATAAACTAGTGGTGACCAGTGGTGACTAGTAGGATGCAGGCCAAAGAGCTGAGCCCCAGGCCACGTGCAGTTAGGGTCTCAGGCGAGCACAGAAGGCAGAAGTGGTGCACGAGGCAGAGTCTAAAGCAACCTTGGACGTTTCTTTGTTTTTACGTAAGTTCACTATGGCCATATCTTCTCTCCAGGACATTGTTTCTTGGGTTGAGCACAGCCGAGTCGCCTTCTTTTAGGGGTCCTTTTATGTAACGATTTCCAGTTAAAAGAAGTGGAATCACTCCCGGGGAGTGGACTTGCCTGTGAAGCAGGAGCCTGCCTGAGGAAAGAGCACACGCAGTCCGCCCCTCATGCCCCGCTGGCCACAGGGTCCACAGCTGTGCATGTCTACAGCAGCTGTTTCTGCCATGGCCACAGGCTCAGTTTGCTTGAAGTAAGAGCATGCACAGTATGACATCACAGAGGCACATGTGACTGACAAGGACCAAGGTACCAAAGGACGAATTTGGCTGGGGAGGCCAGGACAAGGTTCACAAGAGAAGGTGCCATTTAAGCTGGGGCTTCAGGTGCCAGGGACCCAGCAGATGCTGAGCATGGGGATAAAGGACAAGGCCTATTTAGGCAACAGGCTGCCTCTGACCAGCCACATGGCTGAGACATGGGAGCCAGGACAGTCGGGACAGCCTGGCCTGCAAAGCAGCTCAGGCATCAGACAAAAGAACCTGGCTTTACAGTCAGATTCCATGCATGGCTCCTGAAGGACTGGAAAACAGGAAGGGGACAGGCTCTACCTGCGGTTTAGACAGACCACCCCACTTGAATCTGCAGAATGTCTGGGGCAGAGGAGGGTTTGGTAAGGCGTAGTAATGGGAATGGAGTAGAAACAGCCCTGCTGGGCCAAGGAAGTCAACAGATGCCTCCATCCTCGATTGGGGGGTACAGGAAGTAACATTCTTATGTTCTAGAGGCTATTAAATAAAGTAAAAAACGTGGGCAGGGGGCTCGGCCCATTTTGGAACACAGTGCCTTTAAGGTGCTCGGCAACTTAGAGCTGGAGGTGCCTGAAATCCATTGGAAGTTGTGACCAAATCTCAGGGGTTCAAGCAATGTGGGTGATGTGGGTTTGAAGTCAACATGGTGAGGTGATCACAGAAAAGGTGCCTGAAAGGGACTTCACACCCAGGAGGAACTTCACACCCAGGAGGGACTTCACATAGGAGATCAAGGGTGGCAGCCGGTGCTGCTGCTGTGGTTCCTGGGGTCCTTTCCCCACAATTGGTGGACAGTGATGCCACAGCAGTGAATTCCATGGCCCATGGGAACCTGCATTGTCAGCAGTGGGCCTAGAAAGAAACTCAGAGGATACCACCAACAGGGGACAAAGCCAAAAAGAGGAATAAAAAGCAAGAATTAAAAACACAAGAGGAGAAACAAGAGAGAATAGGGTCTGGGGAACCAAAGGAAGTGAGAGTTCAAGGGCGAGTGAATCAGTGTCAAGGTCAGTAAGATAAAGAACAGAGGGTGTGCACTGGCTGCAGAAGTCGGGAGGCCACCTGTGGCCTTGGCAAGAGTGGCTGTGACCAAGTGCTGGCTGTGGGAGCTGCTGAGGGTTTTGCAGAGAAAGAAAGGCAGGGGAGAGGTGGGAGGCCAGTGTGGGCCACCCATCCCAGAAGTCTGATTGGGAAGGGCTGGGTAGGGATGATAATTTGAGGGAAAAGCAGGACTCAGTTTTCTCAGCTGCGAAACAAAGCAAATGGAAATGCATGGAGCAGAATCTACCTCTGACATTTTAATTAGTTGCTATTTGATATTTGAGGCCTGCGATATGCTAAGGGAAGCTTTGGTTTCCTGTTCTAATCTGTTTGCCTTTTTATTTTCCATTTCATATCCTATTTCCATAGTTTTATTCTCATGCAAGAAAGCTGAAAATTAGAAATATCCTGGAGCCGTCAAAGGCTGAGCTCAACTGAGGTCATCTCACCATCAGTCACGTCTTGACATGTCTGCCCAGGCTTGATTTTTTTCAAGACAGGAAATTGGAGATTGTTCCCTAGAGACACCTTAAACTTTCAATTATCACCTCACATTGGTACAGCAGCTTTTCATTTCCAACTGATTTTCACAGCCCTTGTTTCAGTTCATTCTCACAATGACCCTGAGAGGGAGGGAGAGCCTACAACCTTATCCTCACAGTGTGGACCAGGCGACGGAGGGCTGGCAGCACCCCGGAAGCTCTCCAAGGCACAGAAGCTCATATTCTCTCCTTCTCCTCCATTCTTTCAACTAAATTATCAGGGGCAATAACAGTTTGATTCTTGATTTGTAAATGACACAATATCCTATCCAGATATATTTCAATCATAGATGAGACAGAGAATCTGCTGGTACTTTGCCTAAATCAGCTAAACCAGGTTGACCAGCACTCCAGTGTTGAATAGAGCAGCAATTTCTTCTTGTATTGTGGTTCTAAACTTGTGTGCTCACTGGACGTACCTGGGGGCACTTTATCAGAAGGAAGCTACTTGGGCCTTCCCCCAAACCAATGAAATCAAATTCTCAAAGACTGGCTCAGTAGAAGAAACAGGGGAGATGCAAGGGATACAATAGGGGTGCAGGAAGGCAAGAATGCACATCCAAAAGTCTATATTCTAAGGCACAGCAGGCATAATTAGGCCTCAAAAATATTAATGTGCATTTTGTCTGCTTGAATATATGCTCCGTTAATACAGTTTAAAATGAAAATGTTGACTGTTATGTCTGATAGCAAAGAAAGACACATACCTACACACCATTAGCCAGAAACCCTAGTCTGACAACAGGTACATACATCTACCCTGTGGAGAATTACACACATTCACAGGTACCCCTTTTCATGCAGGGTCTTAGAGGTTAATCACCACCTACGGGCACACATAGTAATTAGAGAGCCATAAGGCTGACTCCATGAGCCCCATGACTTGCCAACAAAATGCTGTTCCCCAAGTCACCTAGGCCCCCGTTTCCTTCAATAATGTTAGTAAACTGGAGTTACTTTAGTGACGTATATGCCTACTACTCGCAGAGTTGTAATCCTGGAGGTAGAATCCTAGAAGAGTTGGGACAACTATCAAATTATAGTTTTTCCTAGTTTTCTACAAACACGATGCTGGTAGCCCATCGTGATCAGATTGTGAGCCTGGCCAGCAGACGTGCGGATCCCTCCTCCGGCATGCCACAGGATGTCTACAAGGTGGCTGGCTGGTAGGAAGGATGAAGCTAGAGGTCAGAAGCCAGATCCGACCTGAATTTGTCCATTCCAGAGGCGTGCTGAGAACCCTTATCAGCTTGTTACTCCGATACCCCGCCCCCAGGCAGCATTACCAGATAAAAAACAGGACACCAGTTAAATCTGGATTTCAATAAACAACATCCCAAATGTTACATGGGACATATTTACATACACACAAAAACTCATTGCTTATCTTAAGTCCCATTTTAAAAGCACATTCTGCATTTTTATTTGCTAAATCTGGCAATCCTACCACCAGGGAAAGCCCCAGTAACAGCTTCCAACACCCAAGGCACTTAAGATTGTTTTATATTTTTGTATTATTAATTAGTACTTATAAGGATTTTAAATAATATTTTATGAAATAGTATACTTTTCTGCATCTATCGTATCATTTCTAATTTTGCAGATTAAGAGCATGATGACATTTTCTTTAATGTCTTACATTTTTCTTCCTGGAAATATCACCAAAATCACTGTGATTAACTTTTACTTTTGTATCTTCAACTTGAAATAGTCTCCACAAAACAGAAATATCCAAAAAGTACAGATTTGGCATTTGGATCCTTTAATAACCGAACATCCAACCTTCCCAAATGCTCCACTTGAAACCGAAAGCCTCTTTACAAAATAAATTAATGATGTAAATCATATTATCATTCCTCACTTAAGGTGGCCCACTGCAGCCCTTCCAGAAAGGTACAGAGGATTTTTCACAATCTCAACTGCTCTTTAAAAAAAAATCTGTTTTCTATTATGAAAAATAATCTAACATAACACAAGGACAAAGCCATCTGTATGATCTCTCCAAAGAGCTCATATTTCTATAGATTTTATCACTTTCCAGCTATTCCAACAAGTTCTGAAATTTGAGAAAGTCATGCAGATTTGGCAGATAAAACTCATCAAAATATTAAATTTAATCACCAATATTACAATTATTTTATATCATTCTTTCATATCATAGAAGGTCCAATCAAAGGCATCAAAGTAAAACGTATAAGGCTGCATTAAAAGCAATTACAGACTTTTTAAAAGTTGAATTATAATGTTTCTGCCAATAATCAATAAAACCAAAATGTTGATGAAATACACACAAATACAGAAAAATACCAGCACTCAAGTAAAACAAACCCAGAAGTTTTATATCTGGAAATGTCATCCCTGGTGTGCATGAACAGTAACTCACAACAGATGCAAATAATCTTCATCAGAACAATCACAACAAAATGGGTTTGTATTTCCTTACAAATAAAGATTTCTCTTTATAAGGATAAAGTTAGCATTAAAATAGATAAAGACAAAACTTGAATGAAAGAGTATGAATGCAGTTAATGGGATTTCAAAACTTCAGCCACTAAAAAATCAAATGAAAAACAAAAAAACTGACCTTTGAGTCAATACTCTTCATGGGATTCCAGGGGTCTTTGTTCACAAGAGAGCCACTGACTACTTCATAAGCTCCTCCCTGGCTCCTCCTTCCGGCCTGTTGCGTGAAAGGTGCTAATTTTCTTCCCAAGTTCACCCCTGCACCAAAAAGAAAACAGCCTTGTTCTTCATTCTAGTCACGAGAGTTTGGCATCAGGAGGTTATGACATAAATGACTGAAAATATTTGGAAGTTGAAGAAGCCAGGGAAACACCATAACCTATCAAGTCATGGCAAGTGTTAAAACTGATTCATTCTCTGTTGACCCCATCAAAACATTTTGTAACTTAAATCAAAAGCTAATTTTTTCTCCAAGCTCCGTGGCCTGCACTGGGTGATTATCATAGAGCATATAATCCCGTCCTTCAACAAGCAACAAAACACACAACCAGTGACGTTTTCAATGATGAATTAATGCTTTGCTTAAGATTCACTCTCTATTAAACATTTCAAGGCTTAGGCTGTATTAAGACTAAATCCATTTACTTAAGTCCCAGTGAATCAGTTCAACCCAATGCCAATTCTCCACTCTGTACTTACGGAGGCTAATTTTATATACTTCAGTGAGTGATTCTATAGACAAAATGAATTTGCCAGTTCAGACTGACAAGACTGGTTTATGTAAAAAAAGAAAAAAAATTAAGTCATTCAATAAACTATTATATGATCCTGTTTCTTGGGGTCTTGTCTGTTGAACCAGCTAATGTACAGACACAGGTTCAATTTAGCCCCACTTCCATAAACAATCCTAATGGAAAGTATAACATTTTTCTCTTCTGGACAGTGTATCACTTTCTTAACAAATACGGTAATTTCCCTGGACTGGCTCTCCTATGAGGTCACGCTCCTGCTATTTGGTGCGACCACAGTGTATCCCTCAAGGTAAAGGATGGGAGCAGATTCCCTCATATGTTATTCCCATTTCTTCAACCAGGACTCATAATTTTCAGACCTGAGTCATAACAGCACAGTTTTAAGTTACTAAGGAGTTCACATTTATTGGGCACAAATGGTATTGAAATTTTAATCCTAGACATTTTATAGTTCCCCAAATACTTTTAAATCCACACCATTTTATCATTCTCAATGTGGAAGTCTCAAGTCACATTCAGGTTACAAAAGGATTACTACTCAAGTATTAACTGTCTGACAGCTTCTCCAGAAAATTCTCAAGCTGGTCACAAAGCATGTAAAATCCCCAGTTGAGGAGGGCCAAGAGGACAGAGATAAACCCTAAGTTAGGTATATGGTCAGTGGCAGAGAAGGTGAGGGGGGCCCCTCAGCCACGTGGGAGGAGACAGCAAGGACCATGAGCCAGGTGGGCAAGGAGGGGTGGGCCTGGGGTGCTCAGGGCTGGGATGAGCTGAAGCTTCAGGGGATGGGCCATATACGGATGAAGAGATTCTTGCACTGGAAGGGAAACAATGGAGCAGCTAAGACTGCTGCAGAGAGCAGCCAGGACAGTGAAACATCAGGGCTACCTACGCTCGAAACTCTTCTGTAAATCTTAAATGATTCCAAAAAAGAAAACCGAGGAGATGGGCGCATGGTGGGGAGGGCTACTCTTGATGCACAGGCCAGAAAAGACCTTTATTTGTTGGAATTGGGAGAAAACAAGCTGAGATGTGAAGATGAGAACCTTCCAGCCCCACATGGAGCTTCGGGAAGAATGTGTCGAGGCACAGCAGTGCTTTCCTTTCCCATACAATGTGGCGGAGCATGGAGCGGCCTGAGGGAGAGAATATGCGTGGAGCAGGAGAATATCAGCTGGTTTCATGGCCATCATTCCTGAAGCTTTGCTAAGACCCAAGTCTCTTGCTCTGGATCCTCAGTGGGACCCTGGGTTGGAATTTGCAGAAACAAAGTGAGTTCTGATGCAGTGATACACCTCCTGCAAAGGTGGACCACAGAGTGCAATTAACAGACCTTAGCCTGAAAGAGAGCTGGTGTGTTATTTGAACTGGATCAGGAAGGCTTTGAAATATAGGCAACTACAGAGTCAAAACTGGAAATCCATGTGCGTGTCCCCTTGACCAACGAAAACCAAGCCACATGCCCAGAGTCATCATGGACACTATTTTAACCTCTTGGAAACTCAGGTAAAACTGTTAAGTAAGTGATTGAAAGCATGTTAAACTTTCCTCTTTATAAACAAGCTGGTCTGATTATAAGCTAGCTATACCTGGCGATTCTGTGAAGTTTCCAACACAAGTAAATCATTCAATTGAGCAGTTAATCCCGAATCCAATTGTCCAAGGGCTAGTTAAATCTAAAACTGGCTTCTCGAATCACCCACTGCCCAATGCAGTGGGGAGGGCAGGGTGGTTCCCGTGGGGATCGCTCGCACAGAGGCCTGGAAGATCTTCACCCGGGTCTCAGATACTTGGAGGAAAAGTCTTTGCATTTAGTAGATCTCACTTGAGAAGCGGGATGTCTTGGAAGGAAGGAGATGGCACCATGAAATCCAGGTCCCCTGCAGCAGAGGCACTAGGGGAGGCGGCAAGTCCACACCCTTGATTTGGGGGAAGCTGGGAAGCCTTTGCGGGACCTCTTATTTGATAATCAAGCTAAAATTGCCCAAACCAAATACAAAGAACATTCTTAGCCCTTGGGACCTTTTTCCTCCGAGACTTTTAGTAGCAGAGAAAAGACGGTTACTTTCTCTCCTGAAGGCAAAATGTTCCAACCACAGAACATTTCCCTTTTCACCCACATATTCCAGCATCTAAATCCAAAAGAAGTCCTTTTGGGCTGAATTTTTTTCTTCCTCTAACAGGCTTTATTTCTAAATATTCCAAAGAGAGTGGAGAGACAGACTATGCCAGAACTTGTAGGATATTGTGCAACCTTTTTAAGAAACTGAGTGATACACTGCTGGCCAAGTACAGTATTTATTACCTGTACACATGGATAACGAAGTCATCGCTCAGCTTTTTAATTGGTTGCACAATATCCCCTGTAGTCGGAAGGCTGTTTCTTATGAGCTTTGCTTATGTATTTATACACTGGTATTTCTTTAAGATGATGCAAATAAAAATTTTATTTGTGCTGCAAGGATAGACAGAATAAATTATACACAGCTGTGGGATATCAGAACGTGTTTTATGGAGTGATCTTGTTGACAAACCATAAAAGCAGGTCCTGAGTGATGTGTACATTCAAGCCCTAGAAACCCAAAGAAAAAATACACAGTTCATTACAAAATAGACCGTTCGCATGCCTTTTGTTTTGCCTAATAGCTGGGCATCAACAAAACTCAGTTGCCTAAATTTTTAAAAAATGTGAATAGTTTATACTGGGGAGGGACTTCCGGCTTTCTTTGTTCCTATTGTTACGTAACCAGATAGAGTGCTTGCCATTTTGATGAAAAGGCCTGTTTGCTTCAGTCCCATAGTGGAAAACACAACAGATGTTTTGGTTTCTAACACAGTTATCTCCTGGTGACAACTAGCTCCGCCTGCCCACAGGAAGCGTGTGTGCCTCCTCTGCTTGTCACCTCGTCCAAGCTTGTCATCTTCAGCCCTGGTTACAGCTGGTCAAGAGAGAAATTAAAGACCCAGTCCCTCAGGCAGCATCTCTGCAGTGATGACTTTTAAGGTCTTGGAAAAGCCAGCAGTGAAGACACTCCCCCGAAGTGACTTCTGCTCCCCTCCCAAATTACCCGAGCCGGGCTGCCCGTGGGAAGTCCTGTCCCATTCCTGGTCTGGCCCAGTCTCTTTTGTCTTGCTTACCAAGGGAGGTCCAGACCACCCAGACACCCACCTAAGTCAACAGAGTCAGAGGCTGGCACAGAGCTCTGAGAGGGCGAACCGTGAATGTCTTGGAGCCACAGACCTAGCCCTGGTTTTGAGTCCTCTCTGACTTGTGGCCCTCAAAGTCTGCAGCCGAGATTCTGCCCTCTGCAAAACAGGAACCACATCCTCCCCCTTCCAGATTCTCATAGGGTTAAGGAAGCTCAGATAGGTCGGTGCGGTCAAAGGGCTTTCCAAAGCTTAGTGCTGGAAGTCAGCCTAATAATAGTTTAATTATTCAAGTTTCCTGATTTCTAGCAGGGTTTGTGTGACCAAACCACACTAATGGTGTGAAAATGACAACTATATACCAATGGTTAGAAAATGCCAGGGGTTAGGTGCTGGGGGGCATCCATTCAAGCCACCCTTGGGCCACTGGGGGAAATAAACTCCGAGGAGATTGCTCGTCAAGACAGAACTGGAACATCACACCTGGAGGTCAGACTTCTACTGGGGAATCATTATCAACACCTAAACGAACCAAAGAGAGAAGAATTTATCTGAGGCACCCAAAGTAGGATAACGATTAATATTCTTTTTACCTGGAGAGGAAAAACTTGAGATGGCTACTGATAGCGGCCAAAGAATCTGGGGACAAGGCCCCGGACACTCATAAAGCATGTTCCTGAGTCCCAAATGCCTGAGAGCTGAGGGAGATGCTACAGAACCGGCGGAGCAGCTCCTTGTCTCGGCAAACTGCAGTGACAACGTTCCCGTGAAGGACAAGTGTGTTTCCCTGGCTCAGACTCATACCTGCAGTCCTCGCCGAACAACAGTGTCACTCATTCATCAGATTCCCTGGGTGTAAATTAGGGATGCGATTCTAAAATGGCCTAGGCCAGGGATGCTCAAAAGAACCATGGCAAAAGTTCATCTGAAAAGAGCAGTTCTACCATGAAAAACTCTGAGAAAGCATTCAGCCAGACAATCGAGGTCAACATCAACCGTGATAAGTCACACTGCTGGTATGTGATGAAAGTGACACTTGACCTCTGTGATCTTACTCTGCAAAACCCACAACCCCAGTCTAATCTTGAGAAAAATGCCAACAGAGGTGCATGCCACACACCAGCACATGTCAAAGTCGTCAAGGCCACTATAAACAAAGAGAGTCTCAGAAACTGCCACAGGCAAGGGGCACCTCAGGAGGATGACCACTAAGTGTGATGTGGTATCGTGGACGGGGTCCTGGAGTGGTGAAAGGACATTAGGGGGAAAAAACAAGGAAATATGAACAAAACGTGAACTTAAGTTACAAAGTTATGTCACTATTGGTTCACTAGTTATAATCAATGTACAACAGTAATA